TCAAAAGTCCAAGTCCTCTCGGATTCATTAAGACTTTGGTAACCCAATTGTTTGATATTATCCGGTATATTCTAGGTAGCAAGTCGCAACTCAGATATATCCGAAAAGCATAGAGAATGTTATAACTCGATCCTTGGCCTCGACAAATAAATAATGACCTCAAAAGACTATCATAAGTGGTTGATCTTGCATAACATACATGACATTTATCTAACATTAAGATACTAAGTTTGAGAATCCACGAAACAAAGACTTTTTAGACTTGTTATATGTCAATTTGTTAAAAAAAAAAAAAAAAAGAAAGATCCAACGACTTTGTATATTAAAACATCAAAAATTCAAAACCCTTAAACAGAACTCAGGTAAATAAAACTATAAATAAAAATTTTATAAAACATAAATATTATATAGTGATCCTATATCTTTTTCATATATTTGGGTCACTTTTTTGTCTGTATATATAAGGGCAAGAGCTGTAATAGATGTTATGAAAACAGGTAGCAGCCATAGCAGCAATGTGTGTGCAACCAGAAGCTGATTACAGACCGTTGATGACAGATGTTGTTCAGTCTCTTATTCCTCTTGTTAAAACATACAACCAAAGTTCTGTTTCTTCTCGGGTTCACAGCCGTAGAGAAAGCTTGTCCTATGATGATATTATGCCATGACGCTGTTTATATTTATGGTTTAACACTCTTTGTTAAATTGAAATTCATGTTGCTATTGTATATGTGTATGGATAAACGAATCAATTTGTATTATTAAAATTTATATATATATATATATTATATTTCAGTGTCTAAAGTGCTTGAAATTATTACGAGTTTGTGCTATCATAACAACGGAAGAAATTAAAACAGGGCTAATTAAAATATACAATTTATCTTCTCCTTTAACAACAACCAATTCTTTTAATCTTTTAATTCTGTCAATTCTAGTAATTGAAGATTCTCGAATATAGGTCAACCTTCTTTTCTTCTCCATTTTATTGGTGATGATATTCGTGAAACGTAATAGAAAAAAAAAAAAAAAAAAGAAACGTAATAGAAAAATAACGAAGCATCCATAAACCAGACGGATAGGTTTACATCATATGGAAGCAAATGATTATATGGTTGGAACATTTTTTGGACAAATCAATCATAAAGAAAATTTGCAATATATATTCAAATAAATATTCAAAATTAGGTAACTATAGATTTGAGTTTTTTTTTGTGTACTTTCACTTTTTAATATTCCAACTTTACCCTTACTCTTTAGAAGTGATGTTTTGTGTTATATATTCTTTCTCTTCTCTTGCTTGTATATTCTCTTCTATATCGTCTTTTGTATCTCTTCTCTCCCTTCTTTTGTATCTTTTCTCTCTTCTCTCTTCACTCAAATCTTTGTCTCTCTACTGAAGTCCACTGAAGCTACTAAAGGCCTAGAACCACATGATCACTTCAGAGTTTTGTCGTTTTGGCAAAGCTACTAAACAATTTTCCATATCTGGCAATGTGCGTGTCCTTCACCTCAAAACTTGATCTTCCACGCCTGATCCTGACCCTCCAAACTCTGCAGGAGATCTCAGACGTCCATTTTCACCAGATTACCTAAGGACAATCTCCATTGTTGTAGCCACAAGTCCAGAAACTTCTACATTGATGCCTAACGGCTAAGCTAGTTTAGCTATGGCGATCAATGATCATGTTCCTTTCATTTATGTTGATTGATACTTATCTGTTTTCGTGTTATAGTAACCATTAGGTCTCTTTTAATGTCAAGAACTTTGTAAGCACTTCCCCTCTTTCATTTGTATTCACGCTTTTATTAATAGAAATCTCTTTGTTTTGCTTCAACACTTCATGTGTTGAGTCAAATCTGTTCTTTGGAGTTTTTTAAGTAGTTTGTGGAATCAAACCACTAAATATTTCGTTTTGAGACTTATTTCCCTCGTGAGGATTAGCCCATGGGATCAAGCCTCTAATTACTTGTTGTTTGTGGAATCAAATAACTTTGATTACTCTCCATCATACTCCATCTCTCTATCGCCAACATACAGCCTTGAACTCTTGATTAACTAGTGTTCATAAGATTGTGAGAGTCAATCATATATCAGGATTGGAACACATACCGAATGAGATAGAGTTCTGATCCTGCATATAGTGTCGGATAGAATTAAGACAACAGTATCCCAACATGTTGTGAATCAATTACCCAAGAGTCTACGAGTGAGCCCTATCCATACTTAATGAGAATAGCTGCAAGAGAAAAACAAATGAGCCTGTGTTCTGTCAAAATATACATGCTGATCTTGGAGACGGGTTTCATGTAAGCATGCGATCACTTGTTGACAGTCGGTTATGAAAATTTTGAGAAAACCATTCTTTGGGCCTACATTATATGGTATCTGTAACATCCCTATCCCAGGCTCCTAAGAGAGCGGGGAACCGGGTATGTTAAATCGGCTATCGAACCGCGTCCGGTAGGATGTCCGATTTGGTGAGCACACAGGATCGCCAGGAAAACGCCCAGGTAACAATCAACAACACAGACTTAGGCTGATCTCCCTACTAAACCTGAAAGACAAGAGGAGGGGTGAGTAATTGGGATTACTCAGTGAGGGTGGACCTTAAGGAGGTCCACAACATCATCAAACTAGCATAAATTAGTTTTAAGAGATCTAATCCTAAAGCAAGCCCAAGCAACACATATATAGATATATTTACTTATGTATATAGACAATTCATTCCTAGCAATCAATCACACAGCATTCAAGGATAACCCTACAAACAACTACACAGGTAACGGGTCCCTGGACGCGGCAGTAGTGGGCTGCCACATGGGCCCCCATGCCTCACCCGGAAAGGCAACCAGAATAATCCCATCCAATAGCTGGCCTATTACCATACCCATTAGTCAGTTTCACTCTGCCAGTCACACAGACTGATCCACAGCAATCACCGAGACAGGCTATGACACTAACGGTCACTCAGACGGCTGCTCATAGCGGCCTCACCAGAAAGCTGTACCCAGCGGTCCCTTTGGACGGCTTAATAAACAGTGGATCGCTAATCCACTCCAGCGATGGCTCTAGCCGTGCCTCACACGACAGCGATAGCCAACAAACAACACTGACTCCTGCCTCCAGGAGCCAGGGGTCCTATCAGAGATCTATATGCACAATCATCCATTTCAAAAGAATCATCCATTTCTTAAAGGTCCTTCCATTATTAAGATACACTTTCGGTGATACCAATTGTAACAAAAAGGAACATTAATCAGGTTAACATCACACAATCAATATTTTAAAGTCCAATAAGTTTAGATCCAAGTTCAGGTTAATTATCTCATTCCACCAGCAACCAGCAATCATCAACAAACAAGCAACACAGATCCAGGTCCTAAACAATTCTAACAGCCCTAACAAGCAGATCTAAACCTGATCTAAGAAAAGACCACTTAAAAGACAATCATGCATATGTAGGAGAGGATGAAGCCACAGAGCCCTCACCTTGGCTTAGAAGGCTGAGAGACTGGAGGAGGAGGCAGAGGAGAAGGAGATCTAAGAGGAGATCCATCAGAATCAGCTCCCATCTCACCCAAAGGAGAAGGAGGCGGCGCAGACATCACAGCGAGGCAAGGAAGCTTCGACGGCGAGAGAGGCTTGGAGGATGGCGTCGGCCGCGGCAAGGAGAGAGAGAGACGCGGCCAAGAGAGAGAAAGAAGAAGAAGAAAACGCAGAGAGAGAGAAAGGAAGCAGCTCGGCGCAGAGAGGAGAGAAAGAGAGAGGAAAAAGGTGGCTAGGGTTGATTAGGAGCTTAATGAGGGTTTTAGGGATTTAATTAGGTATTTATATGGAGGTTAAATAGATGGGCTGGGCGTAATGGGCTCTTAGAAAGAAATTAGGAAAAGCCCAAATAAAAAGGAAATAAATAGAAAAGGAAATAGATATGGTTTAATTTAATAAAACCGGAATTAGGAACTGGTAACATCCGATATTTGGTTAACCAAAAGTCGGGATGTTACAATCTTCCCCCCTTAGACAGGATTCGTCCCCGAATCCTATGAGAGAGAAGTTCCTGAAAGGAATTTCGAAGACTACAAACCAAGGGAATCGAAGGCACAAATGACAAGAGGACCTTGGTCGCAGAAGAGAAAGAATTCAGAAATGAATTCAGGGAATGGAAGCAGGAATGGAATCAGAAAGGAAATCAGAGAAGAGATCAGAGGAGGAATCAGGAAGGAATTCAGAAATAAGGCTAGGAATAAAATCAGAGAGGAGGACATGAATGAAATCAGAAGGAGGATCAGGAATGAGATCAGGAAATGGGAGCAGAAAATGAAATGGGTCCAGGAGGAGAATTGGAAATGAAATCAGAAGAGAAAGCAGGAATAGAAATTCGGAAGGAGATTAGGAATAGAACCACAAGATATTATGGCACTATAAGAGATAGAGGCTGAGAGGAAAAGGACAAGAAGGAATAAAACTGAAGCAGGAAGAAAATTAGAAATGGAAGTAGAAGGAAAGACAAAATGAAATCTGGAAGACCCAGAAATGAGATCAGAAATTGGAAATAGGATTAGGAGGAAAGAAAAAATGAAGGCAGAAGTGAAACCTAATAGTGGGGCAGAAACGGAATCAGGAAAGGCTCACAAATAAAATCAGGAAGGGAATTAGAAGTGAGCCATGGCAACATAAGAGATAAAGACTAGGAAAAAGAAAGCAGAAGGAAAAAGGAAACAGGAATGGAATGAGAGGAAGGATCAGAAATAGAATCAGAAAGGGGAAGGCAGGAAGGAACCATGACATCAGAAGAGATTCTAGCTAAGAAGGGAAGAGCAGGAAAGAGACCATAGGACACATGGCGCCAAGAAAGAATTGGAGGCTAAGGGTTTAGAACGCAGAGTGATCAACAGAATCGTGTAGGAAGGAGAGTTTAAGGTATGATGCAATAAAAACATTTTGAGTAAAATCCAAAAACCATTTTATTAATGTGACAAGGAGGAGTATAACATTTTTTTTTTTAAGGAAAAATAAAAGAACACTAGCATGGAATCTAACTAGTTCATAAGAAACCTAAAAGCAATCAATAATCCAAACAAATAAAAATAAAGTTATACTCCTTTGAAAACTTTTTTTTTTTTAAAAAATATAAAAGAGAACAATCAGAGGAAGGATCTTCTTCTGCTTCACTACCAGCGGAAATGACGACCAGCTCTTTGCTAAACTTCACTTGAGGAAGGAAGTGAACTTCTTGTGCGCAGGCTCTCGGATCTTGAACATAGGTCTATGGTAAAAGGAAGGAAGAGAAGGAAAAAGAAAGCTATTGGTTGAATTGCTGAGCAGGATTCGATACACACTAAAGCCACCGTGAAATCCTCTGAATCCGGTTAAGAGTGTGAATTCCCAAAGGTATTCAAGCACATCCGTTCTCTTTGGATATCACAGCTAGGTTCCTCGCCATTCCGAGATGAAACTCGCCTGACTTTTTACAGTCTGACAATTTCTATGGACTCTTGCGACGCCTGCCTTTTAATACCTTAACTATGTAGACCAGGTCTGAACCTAATCATACATGTTGATGGCTGCTATAGAACCAAAGATTGCATAGTCAGGACTGGCATCGCACAGTGTGGTAGTTTCAGAACAACCACCCTGGTACAGTCTGAACCACACCAATAACCAGTCTTGTCTAGAGGCAATTTTGTTGCAACTCCAAAGGCAGACTTAACTACCACATGGTTAAAGGCATAACCCTCTTCCATGCGGTTTCTCGCGTCCTGAAC